AGTAAGTATTCTATTAGCTTTCGCTTAAATGAATTAATGTTGCAATCAAAGAAACTTTATAAAGTGTTGAAGTACTTTCTTTGCTTCAGATACTCCATAATATGAGTGCTCTAGATATTCATCTGGGAATCTAGTCTACGATTCTGATGTTATATAAATTTATTTATAAAGTTGTTTTCACCTACATTACTGTCATAGGGAAGGTATTACGGTTAAAAAAAATCTATGCGCTACAGGTGATTCTCCAAAATGTCGTCTGCGCCCACCGTTTCGCACCAAAACAAATCGTGATGATCGATACTTACTACAAAAATACGAAGGCATCCGATCCATAACGAAATTTGGAATAATCTTAGAAGCTTGTAGATATAAACGGAAGAATAGATAACTTGACAATTATAGTTCAAGATTGATACTTAAGTCAAAGTAATAAAGGTGATATTGTTTATGTTGATGTTACGATTGACGCTTCGTAGTTGTACTTGGATATTTTCACTGGTTCCCACGGTGCCCGCACGCAACAGACACAGTAAATGTAAGGGGAATCAATCACGAATCATACCTTTCTTACTACTGCATAAAGCTTTTTCTTGTAAAGTAACCAAAAATGGAATAGTATCCCTAAATATGGAATACTGAAATTCCTTCTAAAATTTGTAATAGGAAAAAAAAAACAGCGTATTTTGAATTTCGTATTGCTACCGTTACAGAATTGTAGTGTTATTTAACTACTGTCATGTTTTTGATTTCCTTTATTTTCACGCGCACTATGAATGAAACAACTTTTAAACGGTTTCATCGCATTTTGATGTTTCGGGCCCTTTACATGCTTCGTGTTCACATAATACTAAAATGTTAATTGTCTTTTTCATTAACAGTATGGCTACATTCAATGCAATACTATTGGCAGATTCACAAAACAAACAAAAAAATAATAATAAATATGAAAACGTATACATTTATTAAATAAAATTACTTTTAAAATACAATTGACTTGTTTATGTACCCCTGGCTACCGTAAACTACCACCAGTTTCAAATTTGGGAGTATTCCTAAAGAAGAACTACCGAAACAAACTTCGACAAGAAAAGTGAAATGGTTCTTTTGTTTAATATTTACATAATTAACTAAACACCAACGCGATAAACCGTTTAAAAGTTGTTCCATTACTGTATTGTTTCTTCCTTTTTAGTTCTTGTAAATAGTGAAAACAAATGTTTTTATTAAGGATAGAGATTGTAAAGTTGGCTCTACATAAAATCTGGAACTTTTTGGCGGAGCGAGGTGTCGTCTTGGCAACGTTTTACATGAAATGCTTCTGACGGGATATACGAGTATTATAATACTATTATCAGGTCTAATTGGGACCGAAACTGGATCCGATAATCAAAATTTTGTTTTTTTGGAATAAGATCAAATAACAACAACGCCGTTTATTGTGCTAACGTTCGGATAAACTTAAGTCAGCTTTTAGATAAATGATGGTGCGGTAAATCAAGGCTCTAATGTAGTTTAAATATTTATTCATAAATAATATATTAATTTCTACAATGATTTATTTCATGTCTAGAAAACCTCCACTTTATCCTTTAAACGAATATACAAAAAGAGATACTGCATAACTCGTTTTTAATGTTGCCGAGTCCAATTAGAAGAGCGAACTAATACTAGGTGCACACGCGCTCCCGCTCCTTAATCGTTTCTCCGGCAACAAATCTCTGGAACCGGTCAAGCGCCAGTCGGTCAACATTAAACCAAGTACTAAGGACAATGCTGATTGATTGGTGATTTTCGAATTCATATATTATCTTATTGTCAAAATGAATATGCAACGGATTTTTTTTGCCAGCGTTAATTTCGGAATCGTTAACTGTAAGATCAAACAAGGAAGACCGACGGCGAAATAGTTCAAGCAGCCGGTAAATCTTGGATGCGTAAGATAACCTGCGATTTGCATCTGGCAGGAGTTGCGGGGGGCATATGTCCAATACTAGACAAATAAATGGTTAGAGAAAAAGAAGATAAGTTTATCAAAGCTGTGAAGTTTGAAATTGTCACGTAGAGAAGGAAGAAAATAAAAGTTGTCCCGTTCACATATAATGTTTATAGGATGGATTTACTCTTGACCACATAGCGATCTGTTCCAGAACAAAAATATTCACAATAGATTTAAACAAATAAAAGGTTATATATTTAAAAAAAGACGAGAATTATTTGTACTAAACCTAAAATTTCATTTAAGAACGATGACACAAAATGTGGTTTAAAGAAGCAGACAGAAGTAGTTGCAGAGCATACTCTTCTATTTATTGATATTATAACTTTTACAGGTAAGCCTAAGAACTTAAAGAAGCTTACTTTTTTTTTGCTATTATGATTAAAAAAGAGTCAATGCTATAATAATATTCTGAATCATGGAGTTCGTGACCATTTCAATAATTTCAAATCATTGTTCGTTTGCGAAGATAAAGGGTGTGTATTTTAAGTATTGTAACTATCATAAGCATTGAATGATGAAAAAGATTGCATTTTTTCGTTTTACAGTAAAAAATGAAAACCCAATATATTTATAGTAATCTCTGCTGAACTAATTCACTTTGACACGAAACAGCTAATTAATAAACCATTGTTTTATAAGTAGCCAGACGCAAGTGCATAAGAATAAGCGGTCGAGATATTTTAGGGCGTTCATCTCAGGTGTAAATTATATAATGCCAATTAACGTGAAGAAAAGGGTCAAGTGAAATCATTACCTCAATAAATATTTTTGTCACTGAATATACGTTTTTTTCTGTTAAAACCTACAGTAAAAAGTTCTTCGCCAATATTCTAGTTTCCTGTAAAAATATTATATTTATCTTGCCATAAGAATCATTTTTCATATTTGCCAAAAAAAAATATTTATTTGATTACATAAAAAGAGACTACTTAATTTTTTTTCTACAGCTCATTAAGAAATGTTTTCCGCTACCGCTTTTGCCTGGCAATTATTTTAAGAAGCGTGACCAGAGAAATCCTTAGGCGTGGCCTCACTACTGATGGTGATTAAAAGCATTCAATCGCCCATCTCATTATCTAGGACTAGTTTCATAATGAATTAACATTAATTGAATTCATTGAGTCGTTTCTTTGAAAAATGAAATTATTCCTGTAATATTATTTATGTACGTAATTAAATATGTAGTATGGTATGACAGAATTGTAGAGCGATTCCGTAAAAATCTGAATTCGAATTCACTCAGGCGATCGATCTCACTTCGAAACGCATCCGCTTATTCTTGAAATGGTATTCTCTAAACGATTAGTAGCACAAGTGAAGTGAGGTTCGAAATGACGTAGAGATGGAATATCTGAAGTATGTATGAATCAATTAATCTTGATTTGTATTTTTGAATAAAAGTGGCATTAAAGGAGTATTCTACACAAATATATTTCAATGAAATAGTTAATCTACATTATTCATTTTAAAATCGAGGTGGTTTGTGGCCAAATAGCCATGTCGCCAATTCCATTTAAAGATTTAATCAAGAAAATTGTTGTTGGATTAATATACGTTTTGTTATTGTTCCGTCGATATTGTATTTTTGGCGGAAAGTCAAATTTTTGCTCCAAAAATTGTTTTCTTGATTTATCGGAAGGAATAAACGCGTAGTTGGAGTCAGTTACCAACAGTGATGAGTCACACTGACTTTTCAACATAAAAAAGCAATGACTTGACATGCCTTCCGAAGCACGGAGGACCTTGAGGTAGTAGTAAATTTTTGGTCAACCATTCTATGATCGGCCCTTATGAAAATTGCTTAATACCCTTAGAGCCGACAAAAATAGTAAATTTACTGAAACTTTCTTGCTTTATTTCTAATACGAGATTTCAAAAATTTACCTAACTTCATAGGTGATTCATAATTCGCCTAAACATTTTTATTATCACTTTGACGTCGACTGGTATTTATGCTTAAGCTTCTTTTAAACTACTCAGAAAAAGAAATAAATGAGACATTATACATTTTTAGAATGTGTTCCCGTAAATTCAATCCCTACTTTGCAACTGTGAATTCGAGTTTCGAGGGTCGAGATGACTATCAAGTAATTAAAAATATCTATCTCTATGCATGTAATGTCAAAAACTCACTTATCATAGTTCAATTCACATCGTGTCCGCCAGTGTGGCGCTAGAGGCGTTTTCGAGTTATACAGAATACGAAATTTGAACCTCACCGCGGATTTCCGATTTTCGAACCTTTCCCTGAACCTAAATTTACTTTAGTTTATGTAACAGAATTGTTAAAAGAGCGTTGTTATTATAGGTATATTTGATTCGATCAATTAAGCCGGTAAAGAAATCCGAGTCAGCAATGAAGACACCATCCGTAATAAGAACGTGGTAATCATTCAGCCACAAGGATTGTTCAAGACTATTTTGATAATATGGAGATTTAGCCCTTGATATTTTAATTACCTTTGCCAATGTTTTATAGTTAATTCATCCGGCTAACTTCATTAATGATTTATGAAGGAGATTATGTATTTATATGTGTACATATTTTGCCTTTATTATATTACGAATAAGCAAAAATCCATTGTTGTCTTACTATTTTACTTGCAATTTTAAAAATTTTTAGCAATAAGCTTCCTCATACTTTAAGTTTGGTTTATAATGATATTGTCAAATTGGTCTAGGCTTCTTAAGTATTGCGCTTAGCAACAACTCATTTAGCAATCTATTATATTTATATAGATTTATCAGATCCTTATCAATTCAAAGAAATATTTTACATTACTTTTTTATTAATTCTAATAACTGTATAATGGTAAGCATTGAGTACTGTTAGGGTTAGCGGTCAACGTGAGAACTGTCAATAAGATTATGTTAAGAAGTTCTCTTGAATATTTTATCAAGCTTCGCTATAATTAAAATCTTTTGTAAGCCCAGTCACTGTGACCGCACAATACATGAAAGTCTACTACATTAGTTATTAGATGACTCTTCGTGTGAAGTATAATTAAATCAATATTTTCTCAAGAAACGAAAAGAAGTAAGGAAATGAGATTTGTGACAAGATTATTTCTGCAGTTTCTTTTTTCAAATATTATGATTGGAAGGATAAGAAAATTTAAAACAAACTTAAATTACAAATATTTTTTTTATTATACGTTATATTTTTGCAATATTCCGATATCTCATCTTAGCTTATACGATAGTAATGTAACAATAACTTTGACAACTAAAACGTTATATCACAGCTTTATCTTAGGTGCTAACTAACTACCTACATTATGATAACTTTTAATCTTATACTATTCGATGCGAAAGACGTTGAAGTTAGGAATGTCAAATAACAGAATAGATGAAAACAAAAAAGAAACATTATTTTATTTTTAAATTAGAAAAAGAAAAACAAACTTCAACAAGCAAAGCGAGTAAAACTCATGCAACGATTTAATACACATTGGTTCTAGGAACGTTTAAATAAAACAATGTCTATTCACACACACGCAGTAACAGTTACAGCCGCCAAATCACAGGTCTTATTGAAAAAGTTTTATCACTGTCACATTGCGGCTTCATACGATGTTCAAATGTTTAATATTAGGACGAGATCACAAAACCAAGAGCAGTCACCAGGGCCTCCACATCGACTGGGCGGAGTCGGTGGTTTCGGAGGCGGGGCTGTGTGGCGGTGAAGGCGGTGCGTACGCGCGCTTAGCGAGCGTCGCTTCGGCGTCTAGCGGTTCCGCTGACCGCTTTAAACCTCGTTCTGGTAACGAAGTCCTTTGAACCGGTTGTTGAGGTATAACTTGAGGAATCGGCTGTGGTGGAGGTGCAGGTGCAATCGGTTGCAACGGCGTTGGCCTTGCCACGCCATTGGGCACCGGCGGTTGGACCTGAGTACTCTCCAATCTCCTGATACAATTACTCAAGTGCTGCAACAGCCTCGCACCAGCTTGAGGATCCACAGGCCCTTGACGCTGCATCGCGTTCGCCGCTAACGTAGCATTCGCAATGAATTGTGACACTTCTGTTGCACACTGAGTAAATCCGGCACGGAATCGCTCCGCATATGACATTTCGGGTTTCAACACTAACTGTCCTCTACGCTTAAGGCTGTGAAGATGGCGAACTGTCAGTTCTAAAATGTCAGCCTTTTCTAACTTCGAGACATTTTCTCCTTCAGCTTGCAAAGCGGTGACCATAAGTTCTTTGAGTTCGTCGAGGCATCGGTTGATGCGGGCTCTCCTTTTTCTCTCGAGCATTGGTTTCATAACTTTTCTGTACTGGTATGTCCTAGAGACGGGTTCTTCTTCGTGAGGATGCGCAGGGGGATGGTAGACGCCGTGTGGCGACATGGCGCGAGCGGGTAGGATCATTGATGTTGCGCGCGCGGCGGTCTGTGAGCGAATGGGGCGCGCGCCGTGGACCGCGTGGTTTTATGCGCCTATACCGATTGTGACAAAACGCCCGTGATAAACGTAGGGTTGCTGCTCTTGAGTTAAAGAGTTATTTTTAAAATATTGGCTATTCATCTTAATGTCGATGCAATACTTATAAGTTGCAATAATTATAAACTCTAGTTTTATCTTAGATAACTTATAAGTATTGCATCTATAGCATATTAACGCTCTTTAAATTTTTATTTTTAACAAACTATTACTATATTTTAATACTGATGCTGGTTTTATATACAAGAACTATAACTATCACAGATTTATTATTTGTTTAATTCTGAATTGTTATATACAGATTCAACTCTCAGTAAAATTTCAGCTGATTAAAATATGATTACGACTTAATATTACGCAATTTTAATTAAATATGGTTACTTATACCTACTCACATTATACTTGACTGATAAACAGTTGTGAGTTGATATCTTAGCATTTAATATAGAAAAAATTTCAAACATCTTTAGAGTTACGTATTGACCCCAGTGTATTTTTGCACACATGTCATAATAACTAAATAACCCAAAACTCTATTGGCGATGTTGACTTTTAGTTTCCATATTGATTAAATGAAAAATTGTAAATAAAAATTCGCACATTATTTCCATTGGAATAAAATAGTATATATTTTTTACAATACAAGTTTCTTTCACTACTGCCAATAATCCATTAGTTATATAAGAATCTCAGAATATTCAGTATTGTACATCGTGTAACAGCTGTTTCCACGGAGGGGCTCAGCTGATGGCACCTGGTTGGCACGCGTTCCCACGCGCTCCCTTCGAAGATGGCCGCCAAACTCCCCTTGTGACGTCACTTTACATTGTTACGAAACGACTCGTGGCGGTCTTGGTCGATACTATAAAGTCTTTTGTCTTCAAGGTAATAACAATTTTTTTTTACCTCATTTTTTTAAGCAATTTAGTTCTCAAATATTATAAAGCTGGAAACGATGTCAATATAGTATATTGAATTAGTTTTTGCATTATAATAAATATAAATTTATTGTTTGTTTGCTTTTAGTGCAATAAAGTATATTCAATCAATCAATCAATCTAACTAGAAATTATAAATCATATTTAACAGTTATTTTGGTTTATTATTTACATTCTTAATGTAAATTAAATAACAAGATATACGTAGTAATTATAAGAAATATGTACGTATACTGAAATGTTGATTGCTTTTTAAGTGTTAATTAGTAAGTATAAAATCAATTCAAGTTTTAATTTTCTAAGAGGCAGCCCTGTGTGTTGTAGCTCCGTTCTCGGGACACGAGGCTCTTTCGCGATTGGTTATAGAAGCGAGGTGCCGATCAGAAATCGCTGTGACTGTAATTTTTTACGTGCATACTGGTGCCCTAAATGATAATGCAGCGTTTACTGAAATTTTAAATAAGTGCAAATTCGCTATTGGTAATAAAAAAAAATAGTTTCCCCTTCGAGTAAAATAATACTTACTCGCTACTTGAAAAGTCATTCATTCCAAAAATCATAATGGTATTGCTATCTACAAATTCATATTAAACATTTACTTTATTCATTTATTTTTTTAGTTATATGCGAGCTTCAATTATTTATAAGTTAAAATAAGAATAAATAAATTATTCTTTTGATAATTGCTTGCAGATTATATCCGATTACATTCAAACTCGCACAAACCATAATGACAATCTGCTTATCTCTATCAAAAACTTCCACGGGCGTGACTCTCATAACATAATCTGGCTTAAAATAAAAACATCCATCCTAATTAGTCAGTCAAAACAATAACACGACTATCACCTTGCGACTGTGTGAGTGTTTCCCAGCACCGCTAGCCGAGCCGACACCGTCCCATTGTGCGGTCGAAACCGCCGTGACGCTACTTACTCCAATTCTGTCTCGTGCAACCAGACGGTGAAACGTCCTAAGTGGTCTTTGGCATCTTTGGAGAACGTAAGAAGTTCTGTTACACTCGCCAGTCGACACTTAAGACGTTCTACGCGCGAAGCTTGATTCCAGCGACGCGGAATAAAGTCTTAAGTGTCACTTGTGCCCGTTACTATTGCGGCGTTTTGGTGCGCGACTTGCTGTCGTGGGAAAGCCCGTGCCGCGCGCGTTCCCACACACTCGCCGGCACAAGCCAACCGATAAATTATCATAATTCCATTGTGAGTGAGACGGTACTAAGAAATTTTATACTTCATCAATCGCTGCGTTGAATACATTAGCGCGTGGGCTTGCTTTGTTGACGGGAACTCGGGGTATTACGACCTACCCGGGTTGGCTCCTTATTTTTTCTATCACGTATCTATTTAATTCAAATTCCTATAATGTCGACGTAACACTCATGATGGCATATTTAATTTTCAGTTTCTGTGTAAAAAAAAAAAACTGAAATAAGCTAATGCAAATGTGATGATGATGAATGAAAGGTAGGTATTATGCGTTGCGTAAATGTATATATTGCGGCGTAATTGTCTATAAGTGATTTTAATAACAGTGTTATTAATGTTTTTCGGAGACACGTATTACAAAACCTCTTACTAGAATAGATAGTAACACTATCTAAATACATAAATAACGCATTACACATTTAAAGTAGGTATTTATTAATGTAGCATAAAAGATGTTTACTATATTTTAATTCTTTTAAAAACATGCTATTAGATTATCATTTAATAGTTACGTTTAATTTCAGCAAAGCGTTTTTTAAAACACTCTGAAAACCGAGTTACAAACTCATATACGAAATAAAAGTAGGTCCGTCAAGTATAAAAGTAGGTCTGTCATCATTATTCAAGTTTAAAGTAAATTTTTAATATCTTATCAATTATGGGTGAAAGAGAAGGAATATAAATTTTGTATTATATAAAAACTTAAGAAAACTTAAAAAGCCTGTTTGCAGCTGCTAAGAACATTCAACAAAATATAATTTTCCGCTCACGAAGGTTTCTGTAAAAATGTGCTCTCAAAAATCATGAAAAAACGCAAAATCATTTTCACTATTTCTTAATTTGATCAATCCTTCGTCCATCTGTATATCTGTCCATTGATTTGATTTATTTTTGCTTTTACCTAGTGAAAAAAAATTGATACTATATCACCCAATTAAATAATATTATGTTTTACAAAATCTTAGTAATTGATGTATTAGTTAGAACATTATTTCTATGAACTAGATATTAGTCTTATGTAAATGCAACAAAGGCAACCTTTAGCTTAACCATTCCAATTTTAAATTGAACGTAAAAGCTTCATATATAAATAATATTATCATCATATTTCTAGTAATTTACAGCAAATATTAACATAGTTGAAGGAGTATTGAACTTACGGTACGCCCGCCCGGCGACATTGTATTGACTTATACCAGCAATATCTCCTAACTAATCTATAAAAAATCAACATTGAAACTTGCTAGTATTTACACTAAGCACTTGATATGGAAAAATATAAGATTACATGAAAGTAAACAGGTGTGAGGTGACATTAAAGTCACATTAGTGTACTTAACTTGGCAACCGTGTCGACTTGTGATTTATCACTTCGAGCTTGGCTTGACAATTTTAAGTTAAGTATGCACTATATTAATATAATCATATAGTGCATGCTGTATTTTATAATTTACATGAGTAGTCTTGAATATAATACACAAATATATAATGAATCAGAAACAAACATGTTTAAAAAAAAAATGATACTGCTGAAGTCTACGCAAATCAGAATCATCAACCTGCTACAGTTGTCCAAGAAAAACGACCACGACATACCCAAGTTAATTTTCTTACACAACAACGCTTTTTCTGAACTTGGTTCAGATTCGCTACCTCATCTCTTTTCTCGTGACTTCGCTTGCAGCTCATGTCAGCCCTGTAGCATCTAATAATAATAATAATGCATTTATTTTGTTAACAAACAACACAACACAGTATAAAACAAACATGACAATTAACAGTGAAGTACATAAAGAAATTAAAAGTGTAATGTTGTGTGCTATCAAAAGGCGCAGATAAAAGAATTTTCATGATGGGATTTTCATTCCTATGATTATCTCTCTACAAAAAAAAACAAAAATAGAACTTTACCTCTAACATTAGTATAAAATAAAATATGGCGTACTAGCTGATCCCAATTAATGGCAATAATACTACCTCATATTATTACTATACTGAGAAATTAGTGATTCGATCACAAATAACACAAACGTTAACGCTTGCCACGGGAGTTTAACGGAAATTACAAAAAGGATCTTAATACATTGTCAATAATCTTTAAAAGCCGAAATCGGAATTCCAAAATAGAACAAACCATCGCACCTAAACTGGCATGTAACCGCAATAAAATAACAATAGCTTAACTGATGTCTTGTCTTCAAAGATCTCCGACGTTTATTGCAGTCTAACAATAATTGTGTAGCAATAAAGTTTCTATGTTACGAGTATCTTGCAGTTAAGCACGTGCACTTTGAGTTTAAACAAATACCGTTAGAATTGATCTTAAATAATACTTTTCCTAAAGTTAAAAAAGAATTCATCATCATCATCATCAGCCCATATTCGTCCACTGCTGGACATAGGCCTCCCCAATTGCACGCCATCTACTTCTATTTTCGGCTGTTCTGTGCTATTTAGGAACTAAGAAAGTCTTTAATAAGTGTTTTTTTTTAATTATAAGCACAAATATCAACTAATTTAAGTTTAAGACATAGACTGTATAACTTAGTCATGTTTATTGGTCTAGTAGTTTTTGAAATTAACATGCGGCCAGATATGCAAAATTATTCATAAGGGTCCATTTTGTCCTTTTGAGGTAGATACGGAGCCTTAAAAATCACAAATTGTTTCAAACTTTATATTATGGTGTGAAAATAAATGAATTTTATTGTATCTCAATGATCACGCGAGGGGATAATTGTGTGAAGTAGAATTGATGAAGTCGTCACGAACTCCGTGAAGTGGAGCTTACAGTTTTATTGTAGATTAAATACCTCAGCAAAAGTCATTCAATTCATAACAAAATTTTGAACGACTTCAATAAAAGGAGGATTAATTTGAAAAAACTTTTCATTTTTAGATTTTCGGTTCTTTTGCCACAAGGTTCCGTGTTCATTAGATACATTAGTCATCTAAGAAGCGCATTTAAATAAGCCTTTGTTTTTAATATGTCAATATAATTTTATTTACTGATTTTATTGTTATTTTCTTAACATATCTTTTTATACCTATGATATTCACGTTAGAAAGCGCTTAAAACATAAATGTTCCACCACTTTGGGTGGTCCGTCATATTTTCGTATTTTCTCCTAAACCTTTTAATTCGACATCCATAACATGGCAGGATAAAAAAAGACGGCCGCCATTATGGACTGGCTATAGTAGATTCAAAATAATATA